TTTTTGTGACAACGGTCAAGAAGCAAAGTGTAAAATATATCTAAGTCTAGCATAATTTACCACGTTGCAGTTGTTACCTGCTGAGTTTGTCCTGGTGTCAAAGCTCACGAGGAAAATCTTGATCCACAAATATTTGGAAGGTAAAAACAGAGCAACCTTTAACTTTTTAACGCATAACTTAAGCTGCAGATTAGACCCCATTTATACGACTGTAAATAATTTTTTTAAACAGATTTTTGGTTCTCTGTTAATTTTTTTCCCAATCCACTCGATTACTGTACAGTACAACAAAAACGCTGAAATGAAATACTCCTGCCAAACCACTAGGTGGAGAGAGCATCCAACTTAATGATAAATGAAAAACAGAAAAAGAACTTTGTAAGCTCGGCTAAAACATTAACCTAAACTTATTTTTTCTTTAAAATCATTTATAGTTTCCTCTCAGTTATCAGACATCACACAATCAAGGTTTAATGACAAGCGGTATACCGTTGTCCCGTCGCTGAAAGTTATGAACAATGAATGCTTGTAGTTTTTGATACAAGTGGATTTTCTGGAATTGATCAGGGCATACAAGTAAACCTTAATGTTTTTGGTGCTAGATATTCAAATTGTAGAAGATGACATGTAGGGTTTTTATATTTTGTCCAAGGTGATGCAGAGTAATGGCTCATATCGAGCCGCGGGAACAATTTTATCCACCAGACGCAATGACGCAATGGTGGGCAATGGTGGCTGCACGAATCATCTGAGGAAATTATACTTTTAAGCAATATAAAGACTAGAAACCTTCCTCAAATGATATAGGTGGCCAGTTTATACAAACCGGATTCCAAAAAAGTTGGGACACTAAACAAATTGTGAATAAAAGCTGAATGCAATGATGTGGAGGTGCCAACATCTAATATTTTATTCAGAATAGAACACAAATCACAGATCAAAAGTTTAAACTGAGAGAATGTATCATTTTAAGGGAAAAATCTGTTGTTTCCAAATTTCATGGCATCAACAAATCCCAAAAAAGTTGGGACAAGTCCATTTTTAACACTGTGTGGCATCCCCCCTTCTTCTTACAACACTCAACAGACGTCTGGGGACAGAGGAGACCAGTTTCTCAAGTTTAGAAATGGGAATGCTCTCCCATTCATGTCTAATACAGGCCTCTAACTGTTCAATCGTCTTGGGCCTTCTTTGTCGCACCTTCCTCTTTATGATGCGCCAAATGTTCTCTATAGGTGAAAGATCTGGACTGCAGGCTGGCCATTTCAGTACCCGGATCCTTCTCCTACGTAGCCATGATGTTGTGATTGCTGCAGAATGTGGTCTGGCATTATCGTGTTGAAAAATGCAGGGTCTTCCCTGAAAGAGATGATGTCTAGATGGGAGCATATGTTGTTCTAGAACCTGAACATAGTTCTCTGCATTAATGGTGCCTTTCCAGACATGCAAGCTGCCCATGCCACAAGTGTTCATGCAACCCCACACCATCAGTGATGCAGGCTTCTGAACAGAGCGTTGATAACAACTTGGGCTATCCTTGTCCTCTCTGGTCCGGATGACATGGCATCCCAGTGTTCCATAAAGAACTTCAAATCGTGACTTATCTGACCACAGAACAGTCTTCCATTTTGCCACACTCCATTTTAAATGACCCCTGGCCCAGTGCAAACGTCTGAGCTTGTGAAGCTTGCTTAGAAATGGCTTCCTCTTTGCACTGTAGAGTTTCAGCTGGCAACAGAGGATGGCACGGTTGATTGTGTTCACTGACAATGCTTTCTGGAAGTATTCCTGAGCCCAATCTGTTATTTCTTTGACAGTAGCATTCCTGTTTGAGGTGCAGTGACCTTTAAGGGCCCGGAGATCACGAGCATCCAGTAGTTTTACGGCCTTTACCCTTACGCACAGCGATTGTTCCAGATTCTCTGAATCTTTTGATGATGTTATGCACGGTTGATGATGATAACTTAAAAGTCTTTGCTATTTTACGCTGGGTAACACCATTCTGGTATTGCTACACTATCTTTCTGCACAACAGTGGTGGACACTGTTGTGCAGGAAGAATAAAATGTTACATTTACTCAGATTAAACTTTTGATCTGTCATCTATGTTATATTATGAATAAAATATTGACATTTGCCATCTCCACATCATTACATTCAGTTTTTATTCACAATTTGTTTAGTGTCCCAATTTTATTGGAATTTGGTTTGTATATTATAAAACACAATTTTTGGAAAGGAATCTTTCTTACACCTAGATTCAGCCACACACCAAAAAGGAAGTTTGTCCATTGCTTGTGTTTCAAGTTAACAAGCTCACCAGGACTACATACATGTATGGCGGCAGACATTTTGGAATATGATGCAGTGTTTCCCCTACCATTATACAAGCGGGGCGCCCTGCCTACCAAACCACAGCCCCACCCAAACCACCTGTCGGCACTGACGTACCACTAAACTAGCGGCTGGCAATGCAGGTAAGCTAGCTAAAAAGCTAAAAACAACCTCTTCCCTCATGCTAAACCCTCACACTGAACGCCCCCCCCCCCACCACCACCACCACCACCACACACACACACTCTCTAGAAAACTGTCGGTACAAACGGCGCACATCTCAGATGTGTCTCCCCCCCAACCCCACTTAAAAAAAAATGTAAAAACTGTTGGCACAAAGCGCGTGGCTGAGATGTGTGTGTGTCTCTCTCTCCCCCCCCCCCCCCCCTTCTAAAACTGTCAGTATAAATAGTGCGCTGCGCAGCTCAGGATGTGTCTCCGTCCATTCGCCCCCCCAGACCAAAATCACAGACGAGATGAGCGCCCCGCCATGGCAACTTATCTAGGGGAAACACTGTGATGTGACATTCCAGTTTTCTAAAGGAACCTTTCGTACACCTCAAGGAAGTAACTAAGTTATCACCAAGTTATCGTGCTCGCAAAGTTCACAAACTAATGAACATGTTTTCCCCTTTTAGCTCCACGACATGACGCATGACATTTACATTTCTTTATTTCATGATGTATTTATTTAATTTTGTCACATTCCAACCTCCATACACAACAGGGGACAATGACAGAATAAAATGGTGTTGTCAGGGCTGTCAGAAAATCAAAGCAAAGAAAAGGCACGAGAAAGGAATTTAGTGACTTTGAATGAAAAAGATGACATAAAATCGGCTTATGTACATGAGTTGCCAATAAATCAGTGTTTGCAACAGACTTGAATTTTAGCCACACCTACACTACTCTGAATATTTAAGATTTTATTATTCATCCACACATGCTAACAAAAATGCTGGAACACCCATGACACACCACTAGGTGGCGACAAAGTCCCAATTAACAGCATATAAAAATATATAAGTTTTCCCAAAACAATTTGCAGCTCATTTTATATAGTTTCAAGTATCCAATTAGTTTTTAACCATTTAAGCACCTGTTCAATGTTTAATGGTGAAAGGAGCAATGAGAAGTGATTAAAACGGCTCTAGTGAGTTGTTTTGTTTCTGGGGCACAAAGTGATGGTGAGTATGCAAAAAAAAATAGGCTGCTCTGTCACCGTTTCTGTAAAGCTCTACATTTCCAGTCCACACAGCAGAAAACATAATTTTTTAATTATTATTTGGAACATTGAGAACAGAGGCTTAATATTTGGAGTTTCAGCTTTGATAGAAACTGAGGAGAACATGCTGCTTTAAAACAATGGTGACAAACGAGCAGACTGGTAGCATCTTTTAGCTTTTCTCTGGACCGATGGTTTTCAGGAGGAAAAAAAAAAACTTTCAGAAAACATCAGATAAACCTTCATGTTGTGTCAGAGTCTGGATGTTATAAATAACTGAATTAGGAAGTACTTGTCTATTTGTGTATCACTTTTCAAATTAAATGTGCTTATTTAAGGATTTTTCCAAGTCGAACATGGTAAGGTCAAAGCCATACAAACCTGTGTTTAAGAAAAGAAAAGAAAGTAAGTTAGCTTATGCTGTTTAATTTACTCTTCATTCAGTCTCGTTTGAGTTATTTATTTTTTTACCCTGGCATCAAACAGGGCTCTAACGGCTTCATGACAACACTTAAAAACCAACATTTTAAAACGTTTTCTAGACCGCTTGTCCTCTGTAAGAACAAAAAATTAAATAAAAATCTTAGGCATTCAAAAGCTTTTTTTTTTGGTAATTAAACACAATCATAAAGCATAACACAAACATTGCCAAAAACCTCTGATAAAACACTAAGTTTAACTTATACACACTGCAAACTGTATTTTTCATCACTTTCCTTCATTTTTTTTAATATTTAAAATAAAGATAAATTCCTGTATATTTGTCATCATAAATACTGAGCTGCGCTCTTCAGTTCGAAATTCAACCGTTCAGACTCGGTAACGGCCGTCTGATGGTTGCGTTACATTTCACACTGACATTTAACACTATTAGTTCTGAGCACCAAACCATCGTGTAAAAACACAGCAACGCGCCTCTGCACACGCTCAGTGTCCACATTCAAACCCCTAAAGGTGATGTCAGTGGTTTCATGGTAAAATATGCTGTTGGTGTTAGCTTCATCAACGTTGGGGACTTTTCAGAGTGGATCATAGCTAAGGAAAGCTTTGACCATTGATGTAACCCCCCCTCAAACAGAAAAATTTATTTGGCTTGGTATTATATGTGCGAAAAAAGCGCTAAAGACTGTGATAAGACCAGATGCATCCCTGACACTGAGATCTTCCGACACAAATTCTCATGTGTCTCATCGTTCACCGTTGACGGTCCCAATCGGACTTCATCTTCAACACCATGAGCACAGCGCCGTCAGCCTCTTGAACCGGAGTGCCACAGTGCAAAGCAAGTGTTACAGAACGGGTCAGTGTTCTAGATTAAGGTGCTTGTTGCAGTGTGGACTCAGAACTTCTGGAATCCAGGAGGCTGGCATGCAACCAGCACGTCTAAACTCGGCTGAATGTCGTCCCAGTGCAAAGCTCCGCCTGTAGAGACCAAAGCCTGGACGTAGTGGACGCAGCCGGTGACTCCGCCCATCTGCTGGGAGGACAGTCTGTTGCGGATGCATCCATGGCTGTTTCAGTCTCTTGACTGGTAGAACAAGATGTACCCCGACTCAGAGTTCTTAGAGATGTCTGAGGTCAGACCGTAGAACTCCTCAATCGCCTGTGCATCAATTTTCTGTAAGAGAAAAATGTACCCTGGATTTATTTGTGTGTCGTTCTCACCGTCCTTGCATCCCCCCCTGCAGAATGTCGGCGTCATTATGTGCTCATGTGCGAGTTTTTATTTTCCATTATCATGTTGTTAACCTTCAACCAAAGATTAAGAGCATGTTAAGAATTTGTTTTGTCTCCAAACCCTATATGTCATTTTCTACCATTTTTTATTGTCTGTCCAAACTGGTCTCACTTGTAAACGAGTCTTCGAGGCTCAATGTGACTTATCTGTTTAAATAAAGGTTGAATTATTTATGGGTCTGATCTGTACTGATGTAATCCTTTCTTTTTTTTCCTGCACTGATGGTTACCAATATTAAATGTCTGGTCTATTTTGGCTCAGCTAGTCTGAGTTCAAATCAAACAACTCCAATCGCACGGTAACTTTAAAAGAACTCTGGATTAAAAATAGGGTTTGGATGGTAGACCTAGTCATGGTTTAAATTTACATAAACACCTAAACCACTCAGAAAACCCATTAATGAAATCAAACCCATTTTTACCATGTTTCAAGCATTTAGCATCAGCCACATTTGAGCATATTTAAGATCCCTGCATACTCCATCCAAAGCCACGAAATCGGCTCTCATTGACGTCGTTGCGTGACGCGTCATTTTGTTCTCAGAGCAGCTTCGCCCACCCCTTCTCAACACAGGAACTGGGCCAAACTTTTTCTCACAGGAGTACGTTCAGCATATGTGTGATTAGTCCGAAGTTTGTGGGTGTGTTTGTTAATGAGGACATGCAATTGGACATTCAGCTGTACAACTCTTCAAACACACTAAATTGGTCAAACGGCCAAAAACTACTGGAAGGAGATTGTGCAGATATCGTGTTTGGAGGAGTCTGTCTGCTGGTCTGAAAGTAGCGCTTTTTTCATGATAGATCTGTGGCCAAACGTTGAATGCACAGTGACGTATACTCCAGCAGGAGGGGTCTCTGGACTATGAAACATAGTGCTCCCCCTAGATCAGTTCCTATGACAGGGTACTCGTCGTATTTTATTTTCGTCGACAGGGGAGGGGCAGAGCACGGGACGGAGTCGCGTCTGTGTCCCCTGCCTGCTAGCTTAGTGCTACGTTGGGGCGGCTGTGGCTAAGTGGTTAGAGCAGTCGTCCTCCAATTCAAGAGTCGGGGGTTTGATTTCACCAGCAGTCACATGCCAAAGTGTCCCTGGTCAAGACACTGAACCCCTCATTGCCTACAATGTGTGTCCCATCGATGTATGAATGTGATAAAGCTCTGATTAATCTCTTTAGAATGATTTGTTCATTTAGATTTGTACAGATAAGAGTGCTGTGTAAATGGATAAATGAGGGCACAGATTGTGGTGTAAAGTGCTTTGAGTACCTTGATAAGATAGAAATGCTCTATGTAAGTACAGTCCATTTACCATTTACATAGCTGCCGGTTTTTATTGACGACGAGGGTGGAACAGAGTCACATCTGTGTTGCCATGCTAGCTTAGCGCTACGTTGCTGCCGGCTTTTATCGATTAAGCGTAGCGGTACGTCAGTAGCATTTTTGCTTGCATGTTTGTATTGTGCCCCGTGCTACATCAATACTGGAAATTGTTGACGGGCAGTTGTCGATTGGGGGGGGGGGGGGGGGGG